TGAACTCACAGTAGTTTAATTATTGTTAGAAAAAAGGGAGTAAGATCAGTCTTCAATCTTACCTGTAATGTTTTGTTTCTTTTTTCAAAAAAGGATTTCATGCAAAAACCAATCAAAACAAGAGATCTCAAGCAAATGTTAGTAGAGCATCCATACAACATTCTTATTTGTATGCATGAATTCTTTCACAATAAAAAATGAGCTTTAGAAAAAACATAGCTCAAAAAAAGGTCTAAAAACATACCCTGGAAAGAAGTGTGTAAGGAGAAGGGGAAATTTTTGTCAATAAATACACAGTCCTTTCTTAGACACACACACACACACGTTTTTCCTCTAAAGTTTACATGTTTCTCTCTAGCCAAGGGCTTCTCCGTGTGCTTGGTAAAATAACACAGCTCGTGCATGCTAATACTAAAAATGTTTAGGCGGTCTGCCTTACGTGTTTAAAATTAACCTTGATTTGTTTTCCAAAACTTAAACCCCTCATAGGTAGGTAACTATAAGGCTACTAGGGACAAAGCCATAGTGTTTAACAACTCTACTTAGGGGAAAAAAGGTCTCTATCAGGATGTGAGTGTACTTAATCAGCCAACAAGTATCTGTTGAGAACTCCCAGAGTCTCAGTAGCACTCAGCTGCTCTTCCAAGCCTCTTCATATCTACATGCCTGGCTCTCAAAACAGGGTACTAATGAACAGAGCTCAGATTCAAGATGAAAGTTATTCTTCTCTTCTACCTGTAACCCATCCTTCTCTTCTACCTGTAAATGGCTGCCCAGTTCTCCACTCGGAGTCAGCCTCCTGCTCCAACAGTACCAGGGGAGTGGCCTAAAATCAGGCAAGTAATTCACTTACCTGAAAAATGAGGATAACCCACATCATAACGTTGTTAAATACAATAAATGCAATACATCACAGATGAAATGCTTAGCACAGGGCCTGCCATATAGTAAGGAGTTAATAAATGCCAGCTGTCATTTATTATATTACCTGCATAGGTCTAAACAGAGGCCCTTAAAAAAGATGAAGGAAAGTGCCAACTCCTCCTCCCATATTGGGAAAAACACCCCTGAACACATAATCTGTTAATGATGGTTCATTACTAACTTCATTTTGGGCAGGAAATGCATTAACAGATAGAATACTTACAATGGATAAAAGACAACTCAGTCCAAAAAACCTTAGAGAAATTTGGATATTGAATACTCAGCTGTATTCTGTCCCAATTTATCACTTAACTTCCGTACTAATTCATCAAATCAACAATGTCAATATAAAACAAAGCTTTGTTTATACTGAAGAGGCATATATGTTTCTCTGTACTTTTTCTTACAGACTAATCATAATTTATAAAGGAGAAATAATGGTTCAGTAACTGAAGTTAAGTTCTAGAGTTCAGGATGTCAGCCAATGATGACTTTTCTATTTACTAATACCAAGCCTAACTCAATTTAAGAAAAGATCGTTTTCTCTTAAGAAGGGCTAAAAAATACTATGTATCTGTTGGGGTTACAGTCAGAAGACATAAAAGGTTTTTTTGAGATCACAAACCCATTTGAGAAACTACTCACTGCTATGAATCCTCATCCCCAAAAAATGCATATTCATAAATATGCACTTAATCTCAGAGTCACAGATATCCTTTGAAGTCATCCTTGTCAAGTAAGATTACAAAAGTCACTAAATGTGTAACTCCAGGATTAGATCATTCCCTGATAAATGTTAGTGACACCTAAGAAAATTAACCTTGATTAAACCTTGATTAACCTTCTTTCCTAAGAAATTGGCATAACCCCTCACCCCATAACTTCCTGTAATAGAAAAGAATAAATCTGACTCCATATTTGATCCATTCCTTTGACTTCAACCCCATGCTGTTTCCTGTACTGAGTCATGCTGATTCTGCACCTTTTGTAAAAGAATGTTGCCTATAGCCTCAAATATACAGGGTAGCCCATTCTCAGGGCTCTAACCTTTAAGGGTATAACATTTTCCCATTCATATAAAGATAAAAAGTTGCAGAATAGAAAATAACATTTATCTTGTTGGAGGTTTGCAGGAACACCACCACCTGACCTACCTGGACAGCTCCAAGAATTACGATTCCAATATCAATAAGTCTGCAACAACCAACCACACCCCCTTCCCTTTGTAGTTTAAAAGGAACCTGAATCCTGACTTGGGGGAAAATGGTTCTCCAGGACTATTACTCTGCGGTCTGGGTCTGCTGGCTTTCTCAGCAAAGTCGTTATTCCAACACTTTGTCTCCCAATTTACTGGCCTGTCCTACAGTGAGCAGAACAAGTTTGGACTCAGTAACATTCCTACCTCCAACTCAACACAGGAGGAATCCTGGGATTTCATAATTCAAGTCAACAGACACAGGCCTTGAGCTAGTCACTTTCGGTAAGCTAGCCTTTTGGCGTCTTTTTCTGATAAGTGAAAAATTCAATGTATTCTACACACTTAATTTCCACACCTGTCTAGAAACTTTAGATTTAATTTCGTGTTCAGCTGCAAAGATGCAAGGATTCATTATTACCTTTAGCATTAATATTGTCCAGGACCATTGCAAGTTCTTTCGAAGATTTATTACATTGTCCCACTTAGCTCTCTGAACCTCGGTTTTCTTATCTGTATGATAGGGATAATACCTCTAAGGGCTTAGAGAATTGATGCCTATGAAACACTTACCCATGCCTGCACATAGTAAATGTTCAATAAAAGTTAACTATCATTTTTACAACCCCACCCAGGCTATCCACCCCCCAAGGCTGGATCAATGCAGATCCCCAGGAATTGGCACTTAGTACTCACCGTCCGTGACTGGGGTGGGCCTGGAGCCTGAGGAGGGCCTGGGAGCCCTGGAGGTTTCAGGGGGCCTAGGAGATAAGGCGTGTCGGAGAGTTGTTGGGGCTGGCTCTGTAGAGTTGAGGTCTTCCATCGTCACCACCGGGGTGGCCCCGTCCTGGGCGCTCACGGAGGCCCAGCAGTCCAAGAGCACGAGTAAGAGGTGCAGGAGGCCCCGCGGTCCCATTGCCCAGCCGAACCCCGCGCGGCCTGCCGCTGAGGACCGCTTGTTGCCTAGCAACCGCAGCGGCCGGGCGCAGGGCATCACGGGAAGGGTCGCGAGAGGCTGCAAGGGACGTCAGAGGCGGGGGGCGGGGCCTGAGAGAGGCTGGCCGGGGCGGGGGGCGGGGCGGGGCCTGGGAGAGCCGGCGACAAGGGGCGGGGGCGTGAGGCGCCGACGAGGTGCGGTGTGAAGCCATTGGAGAGCAGGGGGTTGTGAATTCTTGCAGTGGTTTCTCAGTGGACAGTGGTGTTTGTTTACAAATACAGATTTCCAGGTTCCATCTCAAGGGATTCTGACTCAGTAAGTCTAGGGCAGAGTCCAGGGATCAATATTTTTAACAAATGTCTTAACGAAACCAGTGGGGGGTAGGGGACAGAAATTTGGGGAACTGCTCTCCTAAAGCTACTAAATAGGGTCTTCTGGAGGAGCACAGAGATCACTTCACCACCCTTGAATTTTCTCTCACTGTCGATACTTGCTTTGCCTTTTCTGTTTTAGATATATGTATCCCGGGAGGTTGCCAGATAACTTATGTCCACTGTTTCATGGTAAGGGGAACAGAAGAACACAGTAATTTTATAAATTAAAAATTGACGGAAACTAAGAATGATTGATAGGTCTTAAAAGGAAAAGACAAAGCAAATCTACTGTAACACTACAAAGTGACAAGAAGACCACAAGACCCAGGGAAGCCCCTCCATTCTAAACTGGCTTATGTATAGAAGTATTCCAGCCCAGGGATGTTGGCTATATCTTTGACGCTTAATTGTCTTACAATTCAGAAGTAAATGTCAAAATACTTAAATATATCGTGGTATTTATTCAACAAACACATTTACCAACCCAGAAGAATGCCAAAACAATATATATACCTAGTTTTATTAAATTTATATAGCAAAGCTAAATCATCAAAATGACATCTTTTACATATTTCCAGAGAAAGTGTATAAAATATAATTGAATCAAATGTGTAATACAGATATTTCTAATTCTTTTTTTCTACAAACTAATGCTTTAGCATCCATCTGAAATTCTGAATCATTTTTAATAACTGATATAAATTTCCCTTAAAAAAATTTTATTCTCTAGGCCTCTCACTCCCTTGCCTTCAGAGATAGCCTGCACCCTGTACTGTGTATGTACTTTTACTTTAAACTACACAACCAACCCCGCCCTTGTTGCCTTTCTCTTTCTTTTCGAGATGGCCTGCACTGTCTACGGAATGTGCATCTCTCTGAATAAATCTTTTACTCAAAAAAAACTTTTTTTTCCAAACATTCATCTTACAACTTTTAAACCTGCGACTTGTTATTGTTTTAAAATCTTCTTTCTTCCAGGCCTCTACTTTCTTTTCCATTGCTCAATATCTGTGAATCACTTTGTCCCATTTTCGGATTTGAAATTTTAGGCTGTTGGATTAAATTTTGATAAAGTGCCCTTCAGCACTAACATCTTTGTCTTTATGGTTTGGGAAATAATCTAACCAATCCTTTTGGTTCAATCTCAAACACTCCTTAGGTGCCCCAAAAGTAAATTTATGACATCTTACACCGTCAAAATGAGGGCTGCATCAACTCAGATCCATTTTGCAAACCTGGAAACTTTTCATTTCACAGGTCTTCCATTTCTGCCAGGTTTTTTTTATCTTTCAACCCAGAGGACTCCTCCCTTCCTTCCCACCTAGTCTTGGCAGGTTCTGTCATTAAGATAGAAAGACACAAAGAAGGGCTAAGATCTATTTCCGTATTTTATCCAAAACTGCAGCATTTGGGTTGTGCGTAAATGTTTGTGACTTAAAATGCCCATCTGTTTCTCTAGGATTATTGTTGTTCTCCACTCCTTATAGTCTGTGCCAACGTTGGGAGGAATCAAGACAATTCAGCTTTTTGGAATTCTGCTTTTGAAAGCCACCGCAAATGAGGAGCCTGAAAAACCAAAGACCAGAGTATCTCGGCAAAAAAAATAGCTATGGCATTGTTAACCACTCTGTCTCGGTTTTGGTTTGGCTACATTGGCTATTATTGTTATTATCATTGCTAAAGTCATGGCTTCTAATCTGTCTAAAATTAAGTATCTGGTTTTACCTATGATTAAATGTATCCATCCATCTGTATTCATCTGAGCCAAATATTTTATAAATAAGGAGGCAGAATCATCAAGCTTTATAAAAGGATTGCTTAGAACAACGGGAGATCAAGGCTGTGTGAGGACAAAGGACTGACTGTCATTTTGACTGAAGTGAATAGTTCAGTAGTTGAATTCTAAATCACCACCCAGAAGAAAATAATCCTCAAAAACTTCTCTCTTCCTCCCATTTTCCACGTGCTTAGTCAACCACCGGATACTATTCTTGTTCTTCAAATGTTTTCTGAAACATTATGGGGGCAGAAGGGCTATTTGAGCAGACTTTGCATCTTGAAAGGTCTCAAATTTACAAGTTTGACCTTTTCTGAAAATGCAGTAAGAAATACGGTCACAGACATACACTGACAAGAATGAAATAATTCTTTGTTTACCAGAAAACTTTAAACTTGCATCCTATTATTGGAGCATACTACAGTTTGAATAAACCAGTTGGCTTTTTAAGAATCTTTTAAAAATTATTTTTATATGTATATTTGTTTGTTTTTTGGGAGGGATAATTAGGTCTATTTATTTTTTAGTGGCGGTACTGGGGATTGAACTCAGGTTAAAAATTATTTTTAGGTAGAAACATTTCAATCCTAATAAAAAGTATAAAAAAGACCACCATACACTGCACCAAGATCATTCAGATTTGATATTTTGCCACATTTATTCCACATTTCTTTTTCGTCGTCGTCAGTTTTATTGAGGGATAATTTAGATACAATTTTTTGTGTAGAGTTTTTGATATACAGGTTTTCTCATACATCAATGTACAGTTTTTCTGGTGTACAGTTTTATGAGTTTTAACAAACACACATAGTCACGTAACCACAACCACAAAAGAAACAGAACAATTTTACCTCTCATAAAATTTCCCTCATTCTCCTTTATAGTCAGCCCCTCCTCCTGTCCCAGCCCCAGAAGACACTGATCTACCTACTTTCTGTCCCTATGGTTTTCTCTTTTCCAGGATGTCACATCAATGGACTCATTCAGTGTGTAGCCTTTTAAGCCTGGTTTCTTTCACTTAGCCTAACACCTTTGAGATTCATCCATGTCGTGTGTATCTACAGACTATTTCTTTCATTATTAATATTAAGGTAAAAAATAAAACCCATAACATTAAATTACCATCTTAATCATTTTTAAGTGTACAGTTCAGCAATGTTAAGTATTTTCGCATTGTTAGGCAACAGATCTCTAGAACATTCTCACCTTGCAACATTGAAACTCTCTGCCCTCTAAATACTAATTTCCCCTCCCTCCAGCTCTTGGAAACCTATTTTCTTGTTTCTATGATTTTGACTCATATGATTTCATATGTGTGGAATCATACAGTATCTGTCCTTTTATGACTGGCTAATTGCGCTTAGCATAATGTCCTCAAAGTTAGCATGTGACAGGATTTCCTTCCTTTTTAAGGCTACATAATATTCCATTGTGTATATGTGTGTGTGTATATATATATATATATATATATATCATGCTGTCTTTATCCATTCACTTCTCAATGAACATTTGGGTTGCTTCCACCTCTTAGCTATTATGAATAATGCTGCTATGAGCATGGGCACACAAATATCTCTTCAAGATCCTGCTTTGAAAATTTTTTTCTATTTCTTTAATTTTGTATTCAGATAAGATGATGGATTTTCACTAAACTTAATGTGATAATCACTTCATGATGTATGTAAATCAAATCATTATGCTGTATACCTTAAACTTATACAGTGTTACATGTTAATTATATATCAATTAAACTGGAAGGAAAAATATCCTGCTTTGAATTCTTCTGGCTATATGCCAGAAATGGGATTGCTAGACCATATGTAATTCTATTTTTATTTTTTTTAGGATCCTCTATACTGTTTTCCATAATGACTGCACCATTTTACATTCCCACCAACAGTATACAAGTGTTTTAAATTTTCCACATCCTCATCAACATTTGTTATTTTCTTTCCTTTTGACAGTAGCATCCAGAGGAGTGTGGAGTGATGTTTCATTGTGGTTTTGATTTGTGTTTCCATGATAATTAGTGATAGCAAGCATCTTTTTCTGTGCTTTTTGACAACATGTGTATCTTCTTTGGAGAAATATCTATTCAAGTTTTTTGCCCAATTTTTAATCAAGTTTTTGTTGTTGTTGAGTTATATAAGTTCCTTATATACTCTGAATATTAATCCCTCATCAGATGTAAAATTTTCAATTACTTTCTCCCATTCTATAGGTTTCCTTTTCCTTCTATTGTTTTTTTTTTTGACACACAGAAGTTTTTAAGTTTGATATAGTCTCGTTTATCTAATTTTTCTTTTGTTGCCTGTGCTTTTGGTATTACACAAAAGAAATCATTTCCAAGTCCAATGCCCTAAAGCTTTTCACCTATGTTTTCTTCGAGGAATTTAATGGTTGTAATCTATTTGAGTTAACATTCATACATGACAGAAGGTAAGGGTCTAATTTCATTCTTTTGAACGTGGATATCCAGTTTTCCCAATGCCATTTGTTGAAGAGACTGTTCCTTTCCCCACTGTATAGTCTTGGCACCATTATTAAAAATCATTTGGCTAAATATGCAAGGGTTTCTTTCAATCCACAAGAATTCTGTAATGAATATGCCATGATTTCTTCATTCATTCACCAGTTGAAGGAATTTGAGGTTTTCCAGTTTGGGGCAATTACAAGTAAAGCCACTGTAAACATTCATACACAGATTTTGTGTGAACATACATTTTCCTTTCTCTTGAGTACATAGCTAGGAGTGAGATTTCTGAGTTGCATGGTGAGTGGATATTTAATTTTATAAGAAACTGCCCAACTTTTTCCCAGAGTGACTGTATATTCTGCTTTCCCATCAACAATGTTCGAGATTTCCAGTTGTTCCCAGGCTTGTGAAAACTTGGT